GAAATGCTGCGCGTGCACACAAACGTACAAGAACTCTGGCGTGGAGAGGAAGGCGCGTCCTCCCAGGTCCATGGGGTATTTGAACATGAGGAAGAAGTAGAGATGGCCCACCAGGTTTCCTGTCAGTTCATTCACAAATCTGCACAAGAACAAAGAGAGGAAGATTACTCACAGGAACACCATTACACAGTTAGTACAAGTTATTCCCCAGACTGGAATACAGATTTAAAGGCTTTGATCTAAATTTGTTACTTACGATCCTCCGATGATAAAGTTGAACGCCAGAATGACCCAAGGTAGATAATGAGCCTAGAACAAAGCAGCAGAAAATTGTGTTCATAAAAATCCTGGAATTATTTATGCCGAGTTAGCATAAACCGTCACAGTTACGTCATTGGTATGTGTATTTTATCCTTTCTGATATTTCTGTGAAACGTGAACCTGACAAGAAGATAGAGCATTCAACATTTGATGGGCGTACCTTAAACTGCGTTCCAAACCAGAAGGACACCACGGTGTCTTTGTTGAACTGAGCCCAGATGTACAACACAGACATAATCAGCGGGATCATCAGCAGCTGAAAAGATGAACAAAACCAGCAAGTCACAATCAACATGCCAGGAGTATTTTTACAGTACGTTTGCAAAACATCTAGTTTATGTAAGTCTGATTCATTTTTCTGCACATTGTCATCCCACGACCACCACAAGTTCATTGTCACATACCATCAAACAACACAACAGCCTGGCTCTGTCCAAAGACAGTCAAATCCACTTACCGGTACTAGCACACCTAATAGTTAATGCGCTGCTCTTTAATCTGTGCAATTTTATTTTTTTCCTAATGCAACTTCTTGGCCAGGAGCAGAGAGAAATGGTCTGGATACGCTTTGTGAAATGCCGCATAAATTAGTAAGCTTTAGAGGAGCAGGTGGCAGCGTCTCTGCAGTGTTTATTTTTTTTCTCCAAAATGTAAACCTTTCCTTTTTAAAGTGGGTGTCTTGTGTTATGAAACACTCCTAAGATTTCAAAGGACAGTTGTAAACAAATGCTTTATATAGACGCTACAGCAGTCTACATGCAAAGAGAGAGACAGACGAGGAAGATGCTCACCTGCATGTTTATCAGCAGCCCGGTTATCTGCAGGTTGAGTCAAGGACGACAACAATAGAATCACAGCTGGAGCTGTACAATTAGAACAGCTGGGGACCGGGAGGTTGCCAGTTCAAATCCCCTACACCAGTTTTTGGAAGCTGCCAGTCACCTCTGCCGTTTCCACTTGAGCAAGGCATCTGACCTTGGCATGGGAGACCCCCACTTTTTTTTTTTTTAACCGTTCTCACCATTTAGCTGAACTGACAAAGACTGAACATGTTGTTTGGATGAGGTAGAGTTTTGCTGCTTTTCCCATATAAAGGAGAAATGTCTGAGCAGCAAACACCCAATCTGAGCTGAACTCTCACAAGAAGACAGAGAGCTGAGATGTGGGCCTGAGTGTACTGCTGGTGCTGCATGTGACCTAGATTAGGTTTCTCTGCTCTGCAGGGGCAGACTGACACTGGGCCCTGGCACAGAGCCACCCTGACATGGCACACTGCTGCAGCGAACGAGAGAGAGGCAGAGAGAAGATGAAAGAGAAATGCAGGAGGGGTCAGAATGAATGGTAGAGTGGGAAACAGGCTAACAGGGAGGTAGCTGGATGATGAAAGAATGATTTCCTGTTAGGTAGATTAAAATGTGAGATTTTAAAACAGGAATTGCCAGTTTGAAAGGATACAACTATGCAAATCCAGTTGAAGAGAAGCATGAAGATATAGTCTGCAGGCCTGCCATCAAATGACCCTGGTATAAGAAAAAGAAAATCAGGACGAAGATGATGATGATGACACAAATGAAAACAAGATGCTAGAAAGAGCACTGTATGTTTATAAACCGCCTAGGCCGGTGAGCTTACCTGTCTCTAGCCGAGTGGAGTAATGGTAGAGGAAATAAAGGTTGACCAGGTACAGGAAGCCGGTATTAGGGGTTATTGGGAAATAAAGAGTGGCTGTCACTGGTCTCCAGATCTGAAATAAGCAGAAGAGTTATTAACCCAACAGAAAAATCAGTAAGACATCAACGTCGCTGTGCCTGTTTGCACATCCAGATGTTCACCACCAAGTCTGTAACACATTAAGTCTCATGTGGGTTGCAAATTATTACTTCCTGTGTGGTATTCCTCTGCAGAGTGTGTGTTTCCTCACAGTAATATTTGAAAATTGGTAAAAGAAGTTGAATCAATACCACATTTAAAAAATTAATGGGAATTAATGGTTAAATTCCCATTAATCCGGAGGCAAAAGACAAGATGCAGTTACAATTTAAAGGAGTGTCTGATCATACCATTATCCAGTTTTTGTGCCGTCAAACAAAAAAAAAAAATCTTATTTTGTTGTTTGGGACTTGACAAAAGGTTAATAACTTTTCAATCAACAGAGTCTCATATTCAATGCTTTCACACAGCTTGCGTGACCATCTTAACTATAACTTGACATTTTATAGGCTCATAAAGATCAGGGGGTTATATATAGTATACTGACTCTGCACTACACTTTTATTTCAGTTTATTTTGCTTTCTTTCATTAGCCATACAATAGGCTGCCTACATAATGAAATTAACTGTGGTTTTAATCAACATGTCCTAAGATTAATAATCCACAGCAAGAAAGTCCAATAATTCCAGAAGGTGCATGGATTGTTCAGTGAAAAGAACCTTATTCCTTCACTTAAGAAAACACAGTAATACCACTGCAAACAAAGTACATAGCAAAGTACTGTATTAATGCTGTAATTATTTATATTTAATATTCTTCAGATTATCCCTTAACTATAGATGCGAGATACATTTCGAATTACTGAAGGTGGAAATCATGACATGTCCTTCTAAGTTAAGTACTAGAACTGATATGAAGTGAATTACTTGGTAGCTACTTTTCAGCACTTAAAGTGATCACACTGACCGATTCCCTTTGCCCTGAGCTGTGTTTGATTACTGATTTACACCTATGCCCTAAGCTTGCACGAACCCACTTAGAGGCCTTCACAGTGCCTGAGGGCCTAATTTCATAACATCCCCTGCAATACATGTCTCCACCTTGTGGACGAGAGCGCACTAAAACTAACTTATATTTCCACAACAAATACTTTAAAATAAAACATGTCTATACTTCTCTGGTAATTAAATTATAAAAAATATGTATTTGTTTTCATATTTGGTTTACATTTCAGCGTCACTACATATCCAAGCATTTTGACAACATCCGGAAGTCCCACCCTCCTGCGTCTCGCCCTCTCATTGGTTGCCCCACACTCAGGCCTCCTGAGTTAGCAGTGCTAGCCACCTGCTAACTAACTCCTAGTTTCCAAAAGACAGTAACTCAGCATTTATCCGCTATCTAATCCAACAGACAGACAAGTTACCAAAAACCAAGAAACACTCACATGAAATCTGCTGAAGACCATCTCCGGAAATAGCAAGAGATTCCTGATATCAACCAATCCCAATTTGCCTATAAGGGGAACAGCAATGGAGGCAGCAAACCAGTACCGGGTGATGAAAGGGATGCTTCTGAACCAGTCCCCGATATCTGACATCTTTCCATAGGATTACTGCCAACTTTGAGACCTGAAATAAAATTTCTTCTTTAACAATTCCCTAAAGTCCTTCTCAAATCAGCGACTGCTTCCTGTCTTTATATCACAACTGCTCCACTGTTAAGTTTACATGACGTGGCTAATCACGGTGAGCTAGCTTCAAAATACGATGAAGCCACTGACATCAGAAAGGAAACATCCGGTTTAGCTTTCCAAAGTAAAACCCAATTCGACAACTGTTACCACAGACTGGATAAAAAAAAAAAATTTACTTACTATATGACTATTACTGAACTAGAGACAAATAAAATCAAAAATATAATTTAAATGATTATTACCAATTAACAAACTACGTTTATCCGAGGCAAATAATGGAAAATTACGCATTTTTGAGCGTACTGGAATGCTTTCATTTTAAAGTTAAACGCTTGTTGCAGAAAACAGCACTTGTGATTGGATACACACATAAAATGAAGAATTTTAGAGAAACCATTCCTGTTCGCGCTGTGTAAAAGTGTTACAAAGGTCCTTAGGCAGTATGATCAGTTCGTGGGGTCATTTATAATATTAAGGATGTGCACAGTTGACAATAAAGTGTAAATACATGCCAACCCGTGTGTGCTTGCACATATATTGACCAAATTCGTTTATAAAAAGCTCTTAATTTAACCATTTAAACCGGATGTGTTTTCAGTATCTAACAATATCTTGTTTGCCTTACATTTTATTGCACTTCCTGTGAAATTTGCAAACACGCTCACTTGACCATCCAGAGGCAGCCAGCAACACAAAGAGGCGTGCCGAACGACGCCGTTCTCGCAGCCCCCTGTGGAGATCTAAAAACAGACCACAAGAAGAGAACTGGGCACGAAATAATGCTTTTTAAAAAAGTGGTGGCGATCAGTTAATCGTAATTAATTATCAGTTCAGTTCAGGGTTCAGTTGCTGGAGTTTACCTTTTATCTTTCACTCTGCCTTTAAAGAAGTGGGTGAAGGATTTGGATATTTTACTTACATACTTAAGTATTAGAATGGCTTTTGGAGGTCTGACATATGAGATAAGAAAACTTATGATAATAAAAAGAATAACTGGAAAAACTCGGAGCTTTATTGTGTGGATGTAGATGAATGTATGAATAAATATATAAAATAAACAAATATACACTAATACATAAATAAACGTCACGTATTTATTTTTTCAATTTTATTTTTAAATAAAAATTTACTTAATATTCACTTTTTTCTGGGTCTTGTCGAAAAAGAAATCTACAGGGGTGGGAAAAAAAACCTCGCGTTCATGTTCCTTGGCCACGCCTTCTGCCGTATTTCGTCAATTTTGGGCGACAAAATAAATGTTCTTAAACCCAACCAATAAAATAAACAAAACAATAACAAGTGAATACAACCTGTTCGTAGGGGGTCAGCTAAACCTTTAGGGCACTACTTAAATCTGAATTACATTGCTAAGCCTTAATCGAGGGCATTAACGGTTTCTCTCATTACCGCACTTCGTCAATGTTACTCTTTTAAATTTGCCGCTGTTTACCCCGCCTGTAAAAAGATTAGCCGGCTAACCTGCTAGCGGGGAAGCCATGCTATTTCATAGTGACATTAAGTTAACCCAAGCGGTGTTTTGTAAATTTACCTCCTGAACTGTGTGGACTTTTTTGAAAATGGAGGTGACGGACATTGGGAACAAAGAGGAGGGTAAAATCTGGCATCGAAAACCAACACCGGGGAAGAGGTAGGTTTAATTTTCACAAAAGTCTTCTTTAGTTTCTCAGACTGTCAGCAGCTGATGCTGCACGGACTCATTTACATGCGGGGCATCTTTATTACACATAGCGCTCTAAGTTGTCAGTCTGTATTCCCGTGATTGCTGTATTTTGGCACTCTTACTTTAAGTATTTTTGCTGTCTGTTGGTATTTACATAACGAATACTGATTCGTTACTACTGTTGTGATGAGTTATTTTATTTACTAATTGCAATCAAAGAATTAGTTATGTTTTACTAGTTCATTAAGGCAGCAGTAATCCTAGAAAACTATGAAACTTTAACTGTAGTTCTAGCAAATCGCAGATTTACAAATGATTTATGTTTGAATGTGAATCAAATTAAAGGAAATTTTGAATAAATAAATGAAAATCTTCTTCACAAGTCTCTGACTGGCTTCATGAATATAAAAATGTTGCGACTAGTGCACTGTGACCTCACCCCAAATTTCACCCCAATCAAACATCCGTGGATGAGACATGGATGAAATTGTCTATGGCAATTATTTATTATTAGTCCTTTATTTATCCAGGTAAAAAACTCATTGAGATTAAAAATCTCATTTCCAAGAGAGACCTGGCATTTATTTGTTTGCTGTTTAGTTCAGTTTCTTTTGAACATGGAAGCAGTACACAGAAAGTCATGCAAAATACACTGCTTCACTTTGGCTGACTTAGTTGACATATCCAAAAGAGTGGGAAGAAGTGCACACTTATTTAACCCGACTCTTTGCCAGTAAATCCATTATTGTTTATCCTGCCTCTTTATTGATATTAACCTCAATAACAACAATATACATATTTATAATTTCACTTTTACTTGCATTTACATACACTGTGTGAAATACAAAATCCAAATACCTCCAATTTTGGTGTGTTGATTGCAAAATCTGAATAAACCTGGAATTCTAACTAATTAACCAGAGACATTTATTGACATTCAAACATCTCTCTCTTTCTTATACCTAACGAAAACCTTATCTTTATACCTGTTTCTGAACTGCTTTATCTTTGCACATTGCTTCAGTTCTAGTTTCACTCCACACACAGAAACACAAAAATATTTTCTTGTAGTACGCACAGTGACTGTTTTCAAGTTGCAAAAACCTTTAACTCTTTACTCCTTGAAACCCTACTAGGAGTAAAACCTTGGAGGTCTTTTGTTGCTTCCTGTCATATTTGGTTGTAGAACAGAACGAGTGAGTGTGCATCAGAAGTTAAAGAGGGTGGTCTCTGCCTCTGCAGCTGCCCTTGAAAAAAACTGGAAACATCACATGGTCGTCACGCCACATCTTTGACTAACGTGTCATAACTCGTCATTAAGGGTTCATGGGAGGTCGTCAGATGTCATCTTGGGGTTGTTAAATTATGTAGTTAAATTCTTTCTCTTACAGAAAACATGCTTTGAATGTCTCGTGCTAGTTGATCATATTTTGCTGTGAACGAAATTTATGCAAAATTTGTATAATACTTAGTAACAAGCAAATTTTGTTCTTTTCATTTAGGTCGAATCCTTGTTGCTAATCATTCATTTTTAGGTTATTGTTTTTAGAAAATATTAAATAATGCAAGAATGATCTATTCACTCATTTTCTTTCTAACATTCTCTCACACCACCATCAAGGAGCCCAGAGATGAAATTTGATTTCGATTTCAGTTCTTTTATAAAGAATCTGTGCCAGTGAGAAATTGTTCTATTCCTAAGGTAATGTTAACATAGCTCATATCCCACACCTGTGTAAGTAAGACCTCAGGTGGTTAATGCAGACAGGTGCAGAGAGATCGTAGTAGATCTTTTCCTAGGTGACCACTAGGGAGCAGCGATGATTCACTCAGACACTATTTTGTCTCTGATGAGGTGCCTTGTTTGCCTTTTTCAGTGTGTTAGTGACTGTGGTCCGCACTGCTCAGCAGGCCAAGACGGTGCGTTTCCTCCACGTGGCCTTCGACACCACTGGTGATTCCTTCCTGGCTGGGGATCACCATGGCAACATTTATGTTTTTGACATCAGTAGAAACAGGTGTGTGGCTATGAGGGACACTTGGTTATTTAGTATATAAATGTACAGAATTCTGTATTGTTTAGGATTTACTTTTATCAACCAGGATTGTTTGATTCATAAATGTTCTTCCTTTGAATTAGAATATTAAATATATTCAGAATGGAGTCTTAAAACCTTTGATGCTTTTGAAATTTATTTGATTTTATTTTATTGATAGATTTCGGCTGGTGCAGAAAACAGGACAGGCGTGCACTTCTTTGGCATTTAGCCTCCGCAGGACTACAGAGTTCCTCGTGGCTTTGGCTGACTACACTATTAAATGCTTCGACAAAGGTACGTCCTCACACATAAAGTGCTGCTTAGTTTTTCATTTGTAGTTCATTGTACGGAATTATTGTAGGGTCAACCGTACAATATAAAGCGCCTTGAGGTGATTGTTGTTGTGATTTGGCGCTATATAAATAAAATTGAATTGTAATTTTATTCTTAACAAAAAAATTTTAAAGGATTTTCTTTATTGTAACCACAGCCAGCCAGCACTCTGCGGGTTTTTTCATTTCTCCCAGTAGCAGCTGGTCATTTTAATCCAAAATGTGTAATTTGGTTCTTCTTTTGAACTACAAATTAACTTGTTCTGGTTAATTACATAGACACTAAGCAGCTGGTGAGTTGGATGCGAGGTCACGAGGGAGCAGTCTCATCCATCTCCGTCCACAGCTCAGGCCGCTATGCAATCACCACATCCTCAGACACAGCGCAGCTCTGGGACCTGGACACGTTCCAAAGGAAGAGAAAGCTCAACATCAGGCAGTCTGTAGGCATACAGAGGGTGAGCATGCAGACATGCTCTGCAAACTATCCATCCATTTTCTTCTGCTTAGGCAATTAATGGTTGCAGGTGAGCTGGAGCTTGTTCTAGGTGCTATAGGTCGAGACGCACTAATTTGATATAAATGAATGGACATCCACACTGTAGACTGACCACGTCAGGTGTTGTTTGCATTGCAGGTGTTTTTCTTGCCTCTCAGCAACACCATCCTCAGCTGTTTCAGTGATGATTCCATCTTTGCGTGGGAGAGTGACACACTTTTCTGCAAATACCAGCTCCCTGTTCCCGATTGTGGACCCAGAATCTTCTACAAGGCCTTTGCTGTCACACGGTGGGTCTCTCATCTCACAGCCACTCATTAACAGCCCCTTACAAAAGTCTCTAACTAATGCATACTTGTGCTGTGTTGGCAGTGACGGTAAGAGCCTTGCAGCAGGTGGGCGCTCCAACCTGCTGCACCTGTGGTGTCTGGACACCAAACAGCTGCTCAGGGTGATTCAGATGCCCACGCAGGTTCGAACTGTCAGACAGCTGGAATTCCTGCCCGACAGCTTCGACGGAGGAGCCAGCCAGGTACAAACAGCACTACCAGAAGGGTTTAGGTTTTTTCCAGTTTTCTTGTTTTCATGTTAAAAATAACGTTCTCAAAAATTATTCCTCAAGTAGATTTTTTTTTAAGATAATCTCATATCTTGTACATTGAAGAGAAAATTAACTGGCATGTAACTAATATGGCTATATGCTGTTAATTTGTACATTTCCTCTGAATTTCTCAGTTTCCTTTTTGGTTATAACTTTAATGTCTTATAGACACTGGGTGTGTTGAGCCAGGATGGTGTGATGCGGTTCATCCACATTCACACATGCAAGCTTCTCTTTCACGTGGGTTCCCATGATGAATCCATCACTACAGTGGCAGTAAGCCCTAACGGCCGACACATTGTGGCGATCATGGATAATGGAAGCGTCAATATCTACAGCGTCCAGAGTCTCACGCAGGAATTAAACAAGGTGACAAGCAAGAATGTGATGAATAAGGTTCATACCAAAAGTTACCACATGTCTTGATTGGAAATTTTGTGTGTGCGCGTGTGTGTGTTTGATTGTTTGTTTTACCCTGGCACTCTCCACAGCCGCCTCCCTCTCAGGTGGCAGTAGTCTCTGGTGGTGAAGCTGATCAGGACTTTTCAAACCTAAAGGTCAAGGTAAGGTCAGAGGCTGTTCAAAGACCAACCAAGAGTTCAGGCAGACGCACACAAGTGAAGACCCTTAGACCTCCTGCTGGGACTACAGCTGAGGATAAAGAGGTAAACTGCTAGAACACACATCATTTTGTGGATGTAATGACTGTGTAAGCTAAAGGGTTGTTTTGAATTTAGTTTCTTTGTGAACAGAATGAACTTCCAGCTGGTCTAAATAAGAAGAGACTGGTGGCTCTGCTAAAGGCATTTGGAGAATACCCAGCTAAATACAGGTAAACACAACTTTCACCAGGAAGATTTAGGCATGCATGTAGAAAAATAATAAGTAATTTTCTATATTTGCATTGCAGAATGTTTGTGTGGCGGTCCTTGCTGTGCCTGCCAGAGAATCATGCAGCATACAGCAGTCTGACAGACAAAGGCCTACATTCAGCCTTCCTCACTCTGCATGAGAAATACCCCATCAAAAGTCACAAACTGCTGAGAGGATTGCAGAGGTGCTCACACTCACGCATATAATCCAATTCAATGCAGTGTTAATTATTTAGAACCAGGTCACAACAACAGTCACCTCGAGGCGCTTTATTTTGGAGGGTAAAGATAGAGTACCTATTTGAAAGAAACCTTAACAATCACGCAAACACTTGGCAACAATGGGAAGGAAAAACTCCCATCCTCCGCAACCTGTTGGGGGTGAGGGGAAAGAAAAGAGAGTGCGAGACAGGACAAAAAGGCAAATCAAAAACTTACACAAGTGTTGGTGTCTCTCAGTCCATCTTGACCCAGTTTTACTGTCAAGAAAACTATAGAAGACTCGATGTTGAAACCTTAACAGGAACTTTTCCTCCGTGTGTAAAAGGGCACTAATGGGTTAACTCAAGAACCACCACCGCCAGATTTGTATGTTTAATGAGCATACAGCATAGTTGGACCCAAAAACATTGTGACTGCTTGTTTTGTCTTCTTCACAGGGTGTTGTCTGCTTTAGCTCACTGGGCAGCCATCTTTGGAGAGGTGGAATACCTTCCTCTGGTAGCTTTTCCTTTTGTCAAGCTCTTCCAGAACAATCCGATGCTCTGCTTCGAAGTGGTGGCCACTGTCATAGGTATTTTCTTACAGAGCTCCATCATCGCTGTGTGTTTTTGCAATATTACATCGGCAAACATTTGAAAACTTGATCAGTCTGAGAATGGTACTGCTACAAGCATGAGGTCAAAATACACTGCTGCTTAGAGTGTACAGACACTTCTGATTGCTATATAAATTTGATCCAGATGCAAAAGTCCTCTTTTCTTTTAGTCAACCTGAACCTTTCACAGGAATCTCTGCTGATTCAGTTGTTTGGTTGTGCAGTGAACTGGTGCCAGCACTGGTTTGAGTATTTCCCCAACCCTCCACTGAATATCCTGAACATGGCAGAGAATGTCCTGGCTCATCATGACAAGGAGCTGCTGCAGCACCTGGTGGACTGTGGCGTTACTTCGCAGGTAACAGAAGCTGCAGAACCACAGAGAGGCTGTCAGATAATGTGCCATAAAATTGCACGCGCTCAGTGGGATCACACGTTCTCCGCACTTTTATGACACTTCTCCCCGCTTGCTCTAGCTCTTCGTGTGGCCCCTGCTGGAGACCTTCTTCTCAGAGGTTCTGACTCGGGATGAGTGGCTGAAACTGTTTGACAACATTTTCTCCAACCATCCATCATTTCTGCTGATGGCCTGTGTGGCTTACATCATCTGTTGCCGTGAGCCTCTCCTCCTCTGCTCACAGAAGCAAGACTTTGAGGTACTTTTCCCATCATTTTTTCTCATCTAATCTAATCCAGGAGAACACAAATTTTGACACATAATGAACTTTTCTGTCTCTCCTCTTCTGTAGTATTTCTTCCACCATCGTAACAACCTGGATGTTGGAGCAATGGTAAAGGAGGCCTACCGACTCATGAGCAGCACACCAGCTGACATCCATCCCAGGGCCATGCTCTCTGACTTTACACCACTGACCAAAGGCCAGTACCCTGTGTTCAATCATTACCCAGAATTCATAGTGGAATACCAAAGCAGGGAGAAGGAGAAGATACGACTGCAGGAGATGGAGTATCTCAGAGAGAGGTGAGATTAAAACAAAACAATAATAAAGAAAGAAAAAAAAGTTTTTTGTAATAGTAAATATTAAAACTTAATATAAGGAGGGAGGAAGAAGGCATAACATGTAAGTGTGTGTTCAGGCAGGAGGTGTCAGCAATGCGTGCAGATTTTTTACGTCGCCAGGCTGAAGAGGAGGCCTTTTATGCACAACAGGTAGATTAATTTTTCCGAATTCTGAAAGGACTATATTACTGTAATCCTCAGACTGTGCGGCGTTCAACACAAACAAACACTTAAAATAAAGTGGAAATAAAGGGAATCAGTTTTTACTGTTTTAATTGAATCTGTTTTAGGAGCTGCTGCAGAAAGCAGAAGAACAGCGCAGAAACATTCTGTCACAGGAAGAGGAGAGACTGACACAGCAGAGGGCAAAGTACACGTTGCACCTTTGAAAATGAAGTATGACTTAAATGAATGACGGGAGTTCAGAGAATGGGTTGGTGACACTGTGCTGTGTTGTTCAGGTTGGCCGCCATGAAGAGAGAGCTCAAGGTGAAGGAGTTAGAGCTGCTGGACACAACCAGAAGACGCTTTCTCAAACACCAGCAGGACCTGAGAGCCTCACAGTTACAAAGACTAGACCAGGAGATCAGCAGGAAGGTAAATGCAGCAAGTTACACATAAAACATATATACTGGTAGATTTCAAGTTTCAATGATTTATCTCTTCTGTGTATTGTGGATGGTAATGTTTAGCACGTGGCAGCACGGTGACACAGTGGTTAGCACTGTTGCCGCACAGCAAGAAGGTCCTGAGTTCAATTCCACCATCAGGCCAGCAGAGTCTTTCTGTGTGAAGTTTGCATGTTCTCCTCGTGTTTGCGTGGGTTCTCCCCGGGTACTCCGGCTTCCTCCCACAGTCCAAGTTAATTGATAAATCCAAATTGTTAATTGATAAATCCAAATTGCCCATAGGTGTGTTAGCCCTGTGACAGACTGGTGACCTGTCCAGGGTGTACCCCGCCTCTCGCCCTATGACAGCTGGGATAGGCTCCAGCACCCCCCGCGACCCTGAAAAGGATAAGCGGATGGATGGATGTTAATGTTTAGATGTGTATGTGTACACTTCACTATGTTAGTAATCTGGTTCATATAGTGGAAGTTTAGCACATTATAAATCCTGTAATGGACTGGAACACCAAAATGACTCAGTGTACTGTCACAGAGATTTATGTGCTTGTTGATATTTTGTGCTGCAGATGACTCTTTATGACCAGGAGACAGCTGCAGCAGTCCAGGATCTCGAGGTCAGACAGATGGAGATGGAGGTTCAAAGGAAACAACTTGAACAGGTGACAAACACCCTCCTGACTCCCTACCAGCCTCACCTCCTTCACTCTGCACTTCTTCCCTTTGTGTTAGTACATTTCTTTCCAATAGTGACTCTCATTAACCTGGAAAACAATTTCTAAGTAAAATGTGTTTCACGAACCAAGTTTTGGTTATAGCCAAAACAGTTACAGCTTCCAGTTAAATGCTCAATTAAGATCACTCAAGCATGAGACCTGTTACGCTTTGGGTAAAGTCTTGTGAAATGTGGTTTCACAGATGTTTATATAATTCCCAGCACTGTGACTGTTATTAAAAGTTCCACTGTCTAATCAGTTTTGCTGCTTTTCTTTCATGGTTTTTCCACCACTGTCCCAGCGTTTGTTGAAAGAGCAGGAGCGTGCAGGACGAGAGGACGAGGAGCAAGTGGAGAGGAGAACGAGGCCGGCGGAAAGAGAGGGAAAGAGTTGCACAGAGCTGCTGCGTAACGCTGAGGAAGACATGCAGGCTAGTTACAAATTCCAGTGTAATTGTCAAACATGAAGTCGTGTGTCCATCTGGCTTTTCAACAGGAGCAGTAGAGTCACCTAAATCATATTTCTCCACAAACACACACACAGAGCCGGGAGGAGTTCCTCGGAGGGGCACGTCAGCTGGGCCTGGAGTCAGACTGGAGGGAGGTGAGGGAACGCCTGCAGCAGGCAGACTCTGGGCAGGACAGGACGAGAGAGGGACTGACAGAGACGGACACTGTGGGAGATGTGGCAGGAAGGAAGGTGAGAACAACATGCAGAGCTGGCAAAAATACAGACATTCTGCATTTAAGAAGTACATACACTTGTGTTACAAACTTGAGTAAAACTTGAAGTACTGATTAATGGGGGAGGGGCGGCATGGGGTGTACTAGACCATATTTATTTCAAGGCTTTTGTTTTTCAGATTTATAGAGAAATAAAATATTTTGTTTTAGATTATAATTCTATAAAGTAAAATAAAAATAAACATAAAATAAAAATAAAAGATTTTTATAAAGCCGGATAAAATGTACATATACCAGTAAAAAGCCACTGGCCTTGGGCTGTTAGGCTGGACACTGAATTATTATTAAAAACATCATAACAACAACTTGGTATCACAGCACAGGGCACACGAGCACACACCAAATCTATCCAGTCTCTTTTTGCCTCCTAATGTCAGAAAGTCCCCCCTTCAAGAAAATAGAGTAATGGGAATTTTATTTTATGCCTTAGTTTAGATTGCATGTATGCTTTATTTGACATTACTGTACTTGAGAGTGCTTATATATTATTTATAACCAGTGGAATTCTTGATTACTAAAATAACTGTTTGCTGCAGCCCTGATTTTTATTATGTGTCAGCTTGAAAAGTGACAGAATATATGAGTTTTTATTGGGCTTTTATGTGAGACCTTAAGACAAATCTTTGTGATCCCAGTTTATTGTTATCATCATCATCTGATGTAATGTGAGCATTGTTCATTTAAAGAATGACTGCTTGTTAATTTGCAGTGGGATGAGGTGATGACTCTCAGAGCTCTGCTACAGGATCATCACCAACCATGCCCTTCAGCATTTACAGGTATTACCGCCTCACTGCCACACACAGACACACACACAGTCTATTATTCAGACTCATCTCAGTGTATTTATTGTTTATCAGATGGTGAGGGGCAGACGAGGATAAGGTCACCGTGTTTGAGTAGAGACCCTCTACACAGACACGGTGCCGTCACTCCTGTCAGGACTAACTCCTTCACCACTGCGAGACCAGCAGGAAGTCAGGTGTTGTGTCTGAACAGCAGCTCACCCTCAGAGAGCACCTCCACCAACTGTAAGTCCTTGTTATCACCATGTTTTTTAAAAATTAAGTGGCAAAATGTATTTCCCCATCGGTTTACCAAAGCTGGGTAGTATTTCAAGTAATGATCTATTGTAACCACCGCACGATTATAATCTGATTATAATAATCTGTTACTAATCTGTCAAGTGTTGGAGCACAACTACAAACTGTGAAGCTGCCTTCCTTCTATCCTCCTTTGTCAAATGTGTTTTGTATCAGTAATCCTTTCTTTCTTTTCCTGTCAGTCTCACTGGACCGAGGTCGGGCCCAGCTGGACAGCAGTGAGAGAGAACTGCTGAAGGAAATCAGAGAACTGAGACAGAAGCTGGCAGCAAGAGCCAAAGAGGGCAGCTCTGCCTCCTCACAGTCTGTCCACACACTGTCCTCCCAGTGACCACAACTCCCTCAAACTCTGGCTTCACAGAGTCACAGAAACATATTCTTATCTCGAGACCTCTGGAACAGACGGACAGTGAATCAGACCGATGAGCTAACTGCTTCCAAAGAATGTTTTTGCCATCCATCCCTCCACCTTAAAGTACAAATGCAGTCAAACAGCTTCCACTCTTCATCCTCATGAAAACTCATGTTTTAGCAAAACACAAGTCGAGAACAGAAACAGTTTATTTCAGTTTCTGGCTTTGTTTGTGCTTCATGTCATGTGCACATTGTTGCTCGCATCAACCTGTAATGTTTGGGTGGTTCTCTCAAAAACCAGCTTTGACTATTTTTCTTTAAGCAGTGTGTAAGACCATCTGACATACTCTCGGTACTGTGTGTAACGGACTCACACGCTTCTTCTGCAGAGTCCATAGTGAAGAATAAACTGTTTAAATTTGCTGTCATGTTTTTAACAGATGTGCAGTTCTTACATGAGTCCTTTTTTACTTTAATGTATTTTGTATTTGCTTTATTTAAAATCTATTTACATAAAAACATTTAAAAATCTGCATTGATCTTTGTGTCATTATGACTTTCTTTATCAGAGTCATGTATTTTTAAAAAACAAACTTTAATTTAAATATCTGCAGTCACACTTTTCTGTATTCAGAATGCATTTAGGTTGGGTTATAATTTAGATGAGAGGATTTATGATTTGATTAGAGTTAGAGATTAGACTCTACCAAAGCAGAAGTGCAAAAACACTGACCTATGGGCCTCTTCTCACTGTCTGGGTGTGGCATTAACTGTCATCACTTTTGGTCTTGTGAGCATCCAGGTGTTATTTGACATGAGCTGAACTGGCAGCGATCTCCATTCCTGTCACTCACTGCTTTCTATCTCTCCACCCATGTTTTATCTGTGCTCACCTGCTCTGCATCACTCTGTCACAGGCCATGGGAAGGAAACTGCAAAGCATGCACTGCCCTGTTGTCACTGCCAAAGTTAATTAACAAACAAAAGCACAAACAGGGAGGTATTGGAGCCACAGAATCACATCTAAAAGGAGAATTTCTTTGAATGATGTCTCAAATTTTACAGGCTAATATTTTTATTCTATCTTTGCATCATTTCCTGTAAATTTCTTTATCTTTACCTTCACAGTTACACACTTGAAGGTCACTGTCTTACACCCACAGTCTGACTGACTCACTTTTCACCTGTCACTTCTCATTATGTTTTAGGAAACCATCTTGCCCTCAGCAGGGGTGGATCTACCTTTCTCTCTTTACCTGTCTGCATGTCTGAATCAGTAGATCTCTCTTAGAGAAACTGATTTCCAGAGCTGTAACGTCAGCATGCTAACTTTTCTCTAACCTGAAAATAAGGCTTTGTATCCATGGATGCCTCCAACAGTGTGTCTGCGCTGTGGTACAGGACGTCCAAGCCGCTGGGGAAGGTAAGGCGACGTCTCCAAGACCTCCGCATCCCTTCCTCCTCCTATAATTTCATATCTAGCAGCTCCACAGTGGACCTGAGCCACAACGAGAGCGCTCGTCTTGCAGCGGACTGTCTGCTCAGCCGGGGCTTGGAGGATTACCACGAGGTGTTGAGAGCAGAGGGAGAAGTGGACTTTCTGTCAGAGCCAGAGAAGAATTACATCCTGAAGAATGGGAGGGATAGTCACACAGGTTAGAAATATTTCCGTGCATCTTTAATGTTCCCATTATCCCAGGTTGAGTTGCTTTAAATGGTTTTCTGTCTCATGCAGATGATCCTAGTGAGCAGCATGATGATGGCAAAGAGTTGGAGAGTTTATCTGCTGGCTCAAACTCTCCCACACAGTGCTCTGAAGTGTCAGCAGACAGTGACTGTACTCTGGCAGAGTCAGGTCAGTGTCAGCTGAAAGGTACTAATGGAGTACTAAATATTTTGTAAAAGTGTTTAAATCCTCTGTAGGTCAGTGCACATTTTGGGGGCAATGTATTTTTGAGCTTTCTGTTGCAATTCACTGCTGTTTATAGTTTTCTTTTGCTCCTTTTCATAGACGTGAAATCGAGCGGTCCTGTGTTGGTTAAACAGATGATTCAAGTTTTCTTCCCCTCAGACTGCAGGGCAGCTGGCATGAAAGACCTGGTTAGGCAGTTCATCAGAAAGGCTAAACTGGTATGCCTGGATGTGTCTGTGTGTTTCTTTGTGTATGTTTGTACATGTAAAAAGGAATATACCATGCATACCCGCGCATGTGAAATAAAAACCCAGTGCTGGATCTTGTGAGCTGAGGCAGTGTGAGTGATCTCTGTGACTGCAGGTGTTTGGTAAAGTGATTCCTCAGTAACTCATAACCACGTGTCTATAGGCCCTGGCTATAGTGGTGGACAGCTTCAGTGACGTGGAGCTGCTTTGCGATCTTCTGGAGGCGAGCAAGAAGAGAAACGTGTCTGTACATCTGCTGTTGGACCAGCTGAACCTGAACCTGTTTGTTAGCATGTGGCAGGACCTCAAACTCGACAGTAAAAACTTTCCTGTGAGTCCACTCGTCATTCTCTTTCTCACTACCTTCAAATTGCAGCACTCTTCTGAAGAAATCAAGAGTAAAAACGTTAAGTATCCATATACATGCTTTATATCTTGTTCTTTTTTTATCTTGTAACCATGCAACCTTAAATCAAGCCTGCCAGAGAACCACAGTATCTCTGATGTAACAGTACAGCACAAGCAAACACTGTACATGGAAAGCACCTTCACCGAGCTCTATATGATGACCATGCTGTTTTCTTTTTTGTCTGATGTGATGTTTTCTTCTTTCATGAGCCAGCATTTGATCTTTAAGGGACTTTTCCTAAAACACGCTGCTGCCACTGGATCATGTAACAAAAATGGCTGATGCCCATCCCTGTTGTTCTGGGATGGGCATTTTAACTCAGTAATCTGTAGTCTAGGCAGGTACCACAATTATCACTTCCAAATTAGGATTTGTTTTCTTAGCCCTGGAAGTTGCTACTTAAAAGACTGCTTATGACAATCAGTAAACAAATGATATGTTTGTCAAGATAAATATCTACATCCATCAATGATACAGCAATAAAAATACAAATGATACAGTTTGTGTTAAATAATTGTGTGTGTGTGCACAGAAACTGTCAGTACACAGCGTCTATGGACAGACCTACTGTGCAAAGACAGGCAGGAAGCTGAAAGGTCAGATTGCAGAGAGTTTTATCATCAGTGACTGGACTGAAGTGCTGACTGGTTCATACAGGTATAAACATGCAGGAACATCATCATTATCAACAATTTTTGTATGTATTCTCTTAAATTTTCTGTTGTACAATTAGTAACCGTGTGTGTGTGTGATCGTGTGATCCCTTCAGCTTCTCCTGGTTGTCCTGGCAGGTCCATCGGAGTCTTGCTGTTCTGTTAAAGGGCAGCGCAGTCACATGTTTCCTGCAGGAATTTCACAGGCTGCACTCCAGCTCCAAACCCGTCACCGGCTTTGTCACCTTTATCACTGTGCCCCACACTCTTTGCCGACACGCCACATCACATGCGGCTCTTCATAGCGATACTGGTATCAGTAAGCAGACATCAAACCAGACAGGTCTTCAGTGGGACTGGAATAAAGATGCTGAAAACACTCAGACAAAAGCAGCTGGGACAGTTCTACATAAACCCCAGAGCCCAGCACTGGTGAGCAGCCGGGGGGATAACCAACCTCAGCACAGAGCAGACACTGGTACACAAATCCAAAGAAAACCTCTGCAGCTGTACCCGAAGCCTTTGATTCAACCAGAAATGGAGCGTAAGGTGCAGAGTAAATCTGTGGAAAAGCCCAAATATACAATGGAATCTGGACACACAAGGCATAATGAAAAAGAGAAGAGCGAATACCAGATTCAGAGCCACCTAAACCTGCCTGATCATACCCACTACATCAGCACTACAGCTGAAAAGAATGCAGCGATTCAAGAGTCAGACCCTCTGCACACTGTGTCCCCGACACACAGACAGCACAGGACTGTACTCTGTGAAACACCTTTGAAGAATTCAAATCTTGATCCTGCAGACGTGGCTACCGAAGGGCTCTTCTTTCAGCAGAGGAACAGAAACACAAACCCTCTGAGGACTGCTGCAGACCTGAACACACAGAGAGGACAGCGGAGCTCCTCACACAGTTTCAAACCCAAACCGGAACTTCAACATGATAATCCCAAACTCCACCCTCCTCCTACAACACAACACAAACAAGCAAACACCACTCATCAGTTTCTTTTTACACCTCTAAGAGGACACACACCTGGTGTGCAAACCAAATTCTCCTTTCTAGAAACCAGGAGGCAGGCTCAGCCACAGAGGTACTACCAGCCCCAGCTCCAACCACAAACTATCAAAGAGCTTCCAGCTTCAACAGGAGCTCATCTTAGGCCTCAGCTTCAGAAAGACCCAAAGCTCTTTCTTCCAGGTACAGCAGCCCAGATTAATCTTCAGTCCCACGCTTTCCAGCAGCCTAATCCCCTTTGGAGGCTCAACTGGAGCCCCCAGAATCATCCTATGGAGCGTCACAGCTCCTTCAGGACCCCCCATAGGATGGGACAGATGGCTGGCTGGGGGCCTTTACAGAGCAGCATGAATACACCACTGAGAAGAAGCAAGAGTATGAACGAGAGACAGACAGCAGGGTTCAGTCTAAACAGAACGTTTAGCTAACTCTATATTGGTCACATTTATCCACCCACAGACCCACAGGAGCTGCAGCTATAAAAACAACACAATATCCTCATAAGTTTCACTGAGCTTGGGTGATATTTTAATGTAAACCTCTTGAAATTATACTAGACCAAGAGATGAGCTTATTATTGCTACAAGTCCAGCAGCTGTATCTGCGTATTTTTGTTAAAATAAAATATAACTTCATGACAACGTGTAATCTGTTACATGTCTTTAATCCTGAAAGGTGTGTTAAAGTAGAACATTTGGGGTAATTTTACAGCCGCTACACACACTCACGAAAGTGCTTTCTGTTATTAAACATCTGCTAAGGTTGATGTTGAGTGGAGCGATGTGAGGAGTTAATCTGTTGCCACTAACGTGAAGAGAACAAACAACAAGCCTACACTGTCCTGAGAGATTTTATTATCTGCATAATGCTCAGAACAGCTTGTCTGATACAAACAGCATCTGAAACAGACTTTTTTTTTATCAGAAATATAGAAATACTGTGTTTAAACTAACAACCACAAGCAACATGTGAAGCAGAACATGAAGCAGTTAAAATAATTCACTTTGTTTCATGGTTTAATGCAAAAAAGAGTCACTGCTGTATAGTTATTGAAATAGTGATGGCTTAGTCACTATGCTCTTTGTCTGAACCATCTTCAGCTGGTTCTTCACTTCCTTCCTGTCTGTGTTCACCTTTGTAAACAGTCAACACTGCAGCATGAGGATATTGTGCCCGTCAGTCTCTAACACGCCTGTCAGTAAGATCTTGTTCCACCAGCGCTGTCTGAAGATGTGCAAAGAGACACTGGTCAGGCTCTCCCCATCCTGGTAGTCCTCCCTCATCTTCTCTGGGATCAGGTCCTCTGACATCACCAAGATCAAAGAGAGAAAAACTGTTGGTTTATAAAAAGGAGCCAATTTAATCCAAACTGTCTGGAATTTAAGCCTTGTGACAAGAGCAACTTTAAATACAAAAAAACCTGAAAAATTACATTTTGTAGGTCTTAAAGGCAAATTAAATGACAAAATAAAGGTGAAAGAAAATTTGTCAAGTTCTTCTTAACTTTCAATAAAAACACAATGTAACACAGTGCTGACTACATCTGTGCACTTTGGCTGTGTGAAATGAAATGACAGAAATGTCCTTTTTAATGAGACAACTTGTTGGGTAGGAAACATGGAAATGAGCAAACTAGGATCAAGACTCGGGGAAATATTCAAACACTGATGCTGCTGATAAAAATGTAAACTGATGGTCATGAATGGACACTTGTTTATCAGCTATAAAAGTACCAGTTAACTAAGCTGGATGTTTTTTCAGTGTTTGATGTAAGAGAGCACAGACTAAATTGAATGAGTGACAGTACCTGATAGTTTCCTTGTCTCACAGCCAGCTCACCTCTGAACTTGTAAACTTTCTGCTTCAGTATCCAGAGCAGCACTGTGACAAAACCACTGCAGAGAGAAACAAATTTACTACACAAAGCTGTTAGAGGATGCTGCTCAGTCAGTCACTGCCAGTGAAGTGCATGTCCTTACTTTTGCCATGATCCAGCAGCTACTCAGCTTCCTTAATGAAGGAGTTACTGTGTTCACAAAGTTGGGTCTCCAGATCACCCATCCACCAGGTGGCGTGATGATGTGGTGAGATGAAAAAAAATGAATTGACAAACATTTGTGCTCCATTTGCAGTTTTATTTTTACAACAGGTTCACACATGACAGACATTAATAAATCATGTTTTAAATTAAGGGAAAAGATAACTAATTATTGATTCACATAACCATCATATCAAAATACATGCAGCAGAAGCTTGTCCTAAATGTAACTTCCGACACACAAAGGAGGCAGTGAAGACAGTTAAATAGGCTGTAGAAGATTGTTAAAAATAAACAATAACATCTTTCTGAGTGTTAATAGAAAAGTTCTGCTTAATTTCTCCACTGTTTATCTTCCTGCTACACTGAGCCTGAACCCATCACCTTTGATTTATTAGAGGAAAGTTTGCTACAACCCAACAAGCCACTACTGACACCTGTCTAACTGAATAAACAAAACCAACCCATGGATCTTCTTACACTGCACAGATGAAATTATATTTATCATAAACAGACTTCTTGTACCACAAATGGTTCCCACCTTTATTCATGGCACCACTTATGCTACAGTCTGCTGTTCTTGTGTCATCTGGAGCCCACTGATCAAAAAATACACACTGATCGTTGACCCAGATCCAGAAGTCGAAGCCACAGATGTATTGAAGACCCAGCCAGACAAAGGGAGTGTCAGCCTTCTGAGCCTCCAACTCAACCCAGACCTGGGTCTCGTTATCAAGGATGGAAACCAGATCCATGTGTTCCTCTCTGCAGTGGTACAGGGCGTCTGCCCATGTCTTGTTCTCTTTAATCAGTTTAAAGGGCTCTAAAAGGAAAAACATCAAGAAAATGAAACTTAGAAGCATCAAACCAAACAGTGTTTCTGAGTGTCTAACATGCTGCGTTAATCCAAGCACATAATTCTTACTGTCAACATTTACACATTTATATTGACTCTACTGAGTGACCAGTTAACTTAGTGGGTAAGAATGTTTTATTGTACCTTTTTTTCTGCCTTTCATCGTCACCTCACACAGAATTAAAAACCCAGATGTGTTTTTGTACACAGTTACATAACGCCCCCACTTTGTTCCATTTTCACAGTTAAATGTTTTATTTTCTCCTCTAGTAGTTGTGCTTATTGTTGCACACCTGTAAACAAAGACAAAAGGTTGGACAGATGTACAGAAAGAGTTTCTGGCTCTGTTTGATTAAATCATGCTGTAAACAGTGGAGACAGTCGAACAGCTGGATAATAAATGTGAGCTGCTGTCTGAGAACATTTTAGAAAGAAGGAAAACACCTACAAATAAACAACAAAGGAAAATGAGAATAAATAAAGATTTTTATATTCTTCACATATACGTGATTATTACTCCAAACCACATCACACCATATTAGACCTCCTATTTCATCTGATAGAACTGATACAGGGTTCTCTGTGTTTGTCATGGTCGGCTGTGTGGCAGGCAGGCAGGAGTGGTGGACCCAAAATGCAGGATTCTCAGGACACGAGGTTTAAACAGAAAATGCAGCTTTATTGCTGGAGCAGAACATCAAGATAAAATAAAACTCACAAAAGCAAACAAAACTCTAAACAGAGATGCAGGAGGACTGGAAATCCTAAACACGCAGCAAGTGAGGGTGAACAGACGTTAACGACGCGACGCTGACACAAAGACACACTGGGCTTAAATACACTGAGGGAGTCATCAAGGAGTTAGAGACAGAAGGGGGACACAGCTGGGAGAAATAAGACCTAACGAGACAGGGGAGAGGTAAAACTGAACACACTGACATGAGACATGAACTTTCAGAATAAAACAGGAAACTTAACAGACACAGAGAACCAGACAGGACACTGAACTTGACAGGCAGACTCATGAGCAGACACAATAACACCATGGACAGACAGAGGGAACACAGAGAAGTGGGAGCAGGCAGGCAAGGAACAGAAACCTAACAAATGGCAAAAATCACAACAGAATACACATTTGGAATGAACAAAAGCATAAGGAAACACAAAACACTGAGTCCTCAGACTCAGGACCATGACAGTGTTACTGTATTTAAAGACATTTAAGTGTTTGGTTGAATTTTATGTTTGACAACATTTTTCTCTATTCAGTTCTCATTTTCTCACTTTAATGTGATAGAAAATGTTGAAAATATTTTCCTCATTTGCTTTTGTTTTGCTTGTTTGCAGGTGTTTTCTAACTTGTACATCATCAGCCTCTCAGTATATCAGCTGTGACATCTATCATTTACATTCAATCAGCAAAATCAAACCACAGAGGTTTCTCTACAGTCACTGTGACATACAAATTTCACTACAAGCATAATAATCAAAGTGTTTTAGAACCAGAAAAAACTCCAATATTTTGTTCTTGGTTATTAAAATCCTTGAAATTATTCATGGACACCATCTAAAAATATTGGACTGACTGAGAACAGAATGATTCAAAGTAAGATGAAGGTATTACTCAGTGGTGTCAGCAGGATTTCTCTCAGATGAGTTCCCGATGAGGATGTGAGCGCCTCTTAGATCAACATTGTATTGATTTGTGTTGTAAATTGTGATGCAGGAAATTTCCCATAGACCCAATAAGTCAACTGTCCACCAGGAGTTGGTCTCTTGTGCAGTGTGAGCAGATATCAAGATATTCCCATCAAAAGCTCTGTCAGCACTGAATTTGACACCATTGTTATCTGTGTAGACTGAAGACTGAAATGCCACTTTGTCATCCAGTTTGATAGTTTCCCAGCCTGGACTACATCCTGATGATGTAACAGAAAGTAAAGTTAAAAAATTAAAAAAAGCAATGTCAGTGGTAATAATACTTCAGAAATGGGCAATAGAAAACGGTCAGTGACTATGCAATCCCCAAAATTTGCTAGCATGATGTCAAGGCAGAATGGGTACGAGCAACTTCTTTTTTTGCCATGCCATGATGCCGCCTTGACCATATCAAAAACCACTACACACACACACACACACACACGCACACACACACACACACACACACACACACACGCATGCAGATTATTCCCAAGCAGCATCACTACATAACATTGCAGTTAATGTTGAATAGTTATGCCGTTAGCCAGTGTTGGGGAGTAATGGAATACATGTACCGCCGTTACGTATTTAAAATACAAAATATTATCTACTGTACACTGTGTTCGTGTTTTCCTCCGAAACAATAAGTTCCTTTGGAGCAGCCTTTTAACACCTCTCTCTGTCTCAAACTTGACCCAGACAACAAAGTAAAGCTATTTTTCGGCTACAAGCCCGACACGGAACCCAATGTATTAGCCAGATGTCCCTTTACTACGGTTCAGAACCTTCCCAACACTGTCTTTAGCAAATAAAAATTCATCAGAATTAATGAAATTTTATAATTTGACTCTAAAAACATCCCGAAGGATGACCCAGTTTAATATAATCCACTCACACCCACACACCAATGACTGCATGTTTATAATCACAGGGATCATGTATCCTAATAACATAATTCAATATAAATTTACATTTATAACATATTTATACAGATATTTGTAATATTGCTTTGGTCCAACAGAAAATCCCCACATGAAACATTTTCCCACAGATGCGACGTCTACTGTGATGCATAAATAAATGAATTGAGAAATAGGATATTATTTCCTTTACAAATAAGTATATTCACAACAGAAGCACCATCATACTTTTCGATATAACCTGAAGAAACTGATTAGAAATGCACTCTTACCTGGATCCTGTTGAGTTGATCTTTCTGTGAAGTTTCAGAGAACGATGTAAGAATGAGTGAATTACTACTTTTCCATTCTTTATAACGATCATTGAAACATCACTGTGCCAGGCAGGAACATCAAATGATCCACTTACCAATCAAAGTGATGAACAACAGACTCCACAGCATCTTTACTTTAGACTCTTTGCACAAATGTGTCCTCTAATAAGAGAAAGAAAAGACTTCTACCCTCACTCTGGAGTTTTCTGTAGACACACTGATGTTGATATGATCCCCTCTCTGAGTCAGAGCTGGATTTGTATTTCTGTCACTCCCCTCATAGCTGCCAACATGAAAATATTCATTTCTCCTGTTTAGACTCAGAGTGAGGCTGTTATGTTCAGTAGGCAAAGCATTCCCAGACTTTTACATCTGATTTGCAGATGTGAACATAGCGTGATTGTTATGATCACCATGTTCATCCTAGATTGTGCGTCCATCCAAGTAGCAGCACAAATGTAACATGTAACTTTCTAAATACAGAAAGTTACATGTTTTTGAAACTAGACGCTAAGTGGGAGATGAAGAACAAGAAAATGTTTATTGCTAAAGCAAAACTTGTCACAGACCACCAGGGGGCTCCACTTACACCCAGCAACAAGGGTAATGTTTTTGGGTTTTTGCCACCTTGTGAGTTGAGTTGTGTGAAGCCCAGATTAAAGTTGGAGTAACATATTAAACCCGATTCTTTTATCCCCTGAACTGAACAGAGAAAACCCGACTCAGTGTGGTCAAAAATAATTATTATTTTTATTCAAGAATTATTTCCGGAAAGGGATGTGCTCAGGCAAAATTCTGAGCAAATCTAAAGCATTACAAGCCAAATGCATATAATATAGTTCTGTCATACGTCACACACAGTTTTGATCAAAACAACTCTGCAGTACCCTCTGCCTAGTTTCACTTCCTGTCTACCTGTTCTTTTGCAACGGTGCACAAAGCGTGCAGAGTTTCCTGTCTTACACAGTACTCTGTGACCTTTAGCTCACATTATAACTCAGTGACGTTTTTCTACACTGGCCTCTATAAAACAATATAAACAAAAAATAAGCACTAAGAATATATATTTATTCTGTAACAAACACTATGGCATAATTTTTGTGCCTCTATTCTGAGCGCACTTAAAAATAATAAAAAAAAAACACTAATTAAAAATTGCAAGTGCAAATGTTGCATTTTGAGGAGAAAATTATTTTGAGCAAAGAGAAGTTTAATTTGAGCGAACAAAATTCCCTTCAACAAAATTCAATTCATTAATGAATGCTGTTGGTCCTCTTTCAATATTTGTGAAATCGTCTATCAGGAACCTTGGGGTAACCTTTGATTCTGCTCTTACCCTGGATGTCAACGTTAAATCTCTGGTTCGGTCCTGCTTCTATCATTTAAGAAACATTTCTAAATTGAGCCCTATAGTATCTCATACTGAACTGGAGATTGTTATTCATGCATTCATTTCATCACAATTAAACTACAGTAATTCACTGTTTACATGTCTAAACAAAAACTCCCTGGAGCGTCTGCAGATTGTCCAAAATGCTGCAGCAAGGCTTCTGACAAAAACATCTAAGTACTCTCATGTAACACTGTTGCTTATACAGTTGCACTGCCTCCCCGTTGAATTCAGAGTCCACTGCCAAAGCCTGTCTTAGGGGTAGTATTGTATCATACACCACAGCGCAAAAAAAAGACATCAATGAAAGTACAACTCGATTTAGAGAACACAATACAAAAACTGGAACTACAGTTTATTTTATTTTATTTTATTTTATTTTTTTTGTGTCCCATTTGGATCTTTAGCCATCAGAATTGTTGTCTTAAGGCCAAGAAAGATGCCAAGCGGATTTATTTTACCAAGTGGATCATCATGGCCTTGCCATATTGGTCCATTTGATTGACCTTTATTATAATTATGAATTTATTTTATTTTCAGTTGCTACAAACGGGACAGACATGACTGGGGGATAGGACAGGGAGAAAGAATGAAAGAAAGAGAGGGAGAGAAAGAAAACCAAAGGGGAGAAGAGATGGTGAGAAAGGGGGGAAGAAAGAAAAAACAAACAAACAAAACACCTGGATCACCTGTATGGAGAAAAAAAAACAGAAGAGAAAGCAAACAACAAAGAGCAACATGATAAAAAAAAACAGCACCATCACAATAAACTAGCTAGCAGTAGATAACAGTAGATACTAAATATTAAACGGTATTGTGCAGCACGCAAGATAGACAGCGCACAATGTGCTTTGAAGCAGCAGCCAAGAAAGCTGTAGTCCGCGTCTGTGAATACCCGTGTGTACACCTGTGTGCATACCTGTGTGGATCAACATGCTTGTATTCCAAAGGTTTCTCCATGTAATGATCTGCTAGGGAGTGTGGGGAGCCACAGCCCCGTCCTCCAGGGTATGAAGCAGGTATGGAGGAGATCCAGGCCCCAGATATCCAGAGGCCCTCCTGGGAAGAGCTGAGTAGAGCCCCAAACGAGAGGTCACCCCGCAGCTACGGAGCAGAGGCCAGAGGGGGTTGCAGTGGCGTGCCCGCGGGCTCTGCCGGCAACCAGCTGTGCCAGAGAGGACCGAGCTTCAGGCCCAGAGGCCAGAGGCCTGAGGGCATCCCGCCCCCCGGAAGGAGCCCAGCCGGGCCACAGGTGCCCGGCCCCGCCAATCAGCCACCAGGAGTGAGCCGGTACATACATGAGCGCCCAGACGACAAGGACCACCAACACACCAACGTCTGAGGGCATCAGCCACCGGCAGGGAGTGTGGTGAGGGGAGATAGGCCTCCGTACTTTAGAAGGCCTGAGATGTACCCAGAGAGGTTGAGTCTAAGACCCAACCTGACATATAGACACAGACGAACAGGCA